TACATATTTTGGGATATTTTTGTATTAGTCGTTACTAAAGATATCTTTACTTGACCAAATACTCATTTTTTACAGGGTCTGCTCCATGACATATTTCACTCCATTCTGGCTTTCTGTTAACTCCAATGTTAGTAATGAAATATGTACAAATCATGTATATGTAATTCAGCATTCTCACAAGGGCTTTATTTTTTAGAAGTGTGAGGGCCATGAGGGAAGCAAGCCACAACAAATTGCTTTCTGTAGCAAGACTGACAACCTGTTCACAACAGGATTCTCTCGCATGAGTGAACGACAATATGCCATTTGGGATGTAAGTAAAAGTTGCCTTAAAAACTACCAGTTATTCAAAAGTTATTTGTGTGAACTTCTACCGAAAACAGGGTTCCAAAATATGACAAAATTGGTGTATTTGTGGCAAAATTATTGAATTAACTGAACTTGACTTGAACAATCTGGAAAAAATATTTAATAAAAGTTTTTGTTCTTACTGTAAAACTCTTTCAAATATCAAAAATAACTGCATAATTTGAAAAGCATAAGTCAAAATGTCTTTAGTCACTTAAGGAGATTTGCAATCTCTGTCACTGCAAGTATGGAAGACAGGATAATGCAGGTTTGAATCTCAACGTTCAGGGTCTTGACATAACTGAGAATAAAAACTTAAATAAAAACAAACTTCACATGGCTTCATGTGAAAACGACCTCAATGCCAATTGATCAACAATAGATTTGAATACTAAAAAATGAATAAATAAATAAAAATAAATTCAATGGAAAGTTCCCCTACTGTTATGTATGTTAATAACATGATGGCAGCTTGGATGTAAGAAAGTTTTTAATGAGCAGGAATTCGACTTCCCAAATATTTTTGTATGATTAAAAGCAGAGCTTATTCAGGGGTGGCGCTTATCAATAATTTTGGTCTTAGGTGCGGCATTTATTCAGGTGCCACTTTTAAACGAGTAAAATACAGTAGTACGTCAATTTTCAAATGTTTCACATACATATATTAGACAAAACTATTATGAGGTCTATGTATGTTGCATTCTCAAATACCCATAATATCTTTCTTCGTAGAAAAATTTAGAACAGCTGACGTTGGAGGATATTGATTCTTCAAATGGGGTACAGTTCATACGATATGATCCCGACACAAATATGATTTGGCTCATTGGAAAGGTAAGAGTAGCATTGATTCATTGCATAGGCCTGTCACCCCTCTCTTATTTCATTGTTACTTCACCCATGAAAATGAAAGAAAACATTTGTACACAATCGAAGGCGAACTCGAAATGGGAATATTGTCACACAACTCTATCATTTTCATACATCTTTATCCTTTTTCCCCTTTTTTAGGGTGACTGTCTAATCAGATACTATGAACTTGTGGATGAAGAACCCTACTGCCACTGGATTACCAACTACCAGGGCAAAGACCCTCAAAGGGGCTTTGGATTCATGCCAAAGCGAGGCTGCAACATTAGCATCAATGAAATATGCCGCATCTACAGAATGACTGGAAAGGGGCATATTTTACCTGTCTCATTTACTGTTCCAAGAAAGGTACTCGTTGATGTGTGTGTTATTACGTRAATGTTGATATCATGGTGGTCTAGAGGACCACAGGCTATCCCATCATGCATTGCATGTGATCATTTTCCTACCATTTTGTTAGAAGAAATTGTGACTCAAAAAATCTCTCCATTTTTAGTCTGAGATGTTCCAAGAAGATCTATTCCCACCAACTCAGGGTGGCGATGCCTCTCTCACAGCTGATGAATGGTTAGGAGGGAAGAATGCCGAACCCAAACTCATGTCCCTTGAGGCTTTGTTTAAGGGGAAAGGTCAGGCTGCTACTACTGCAAAGAAGTCCACTGGGCTGTCATCGCTGAAGGGGAAACTGGCTGCAAAGAAGACAAAAGGAGGTGCTGCTGGCCAAGAAGAGGTAAGTTATTTGTCCTCTTTCATTGCTATCAGTACATTGCCAAGATCTCTTTTACATTGTTAGGGGAGTTAGGATGGCGTGGGTGGTAAAATGCTCCCCTCTCACCTCTGAGGTCCGGGGTTCAAATCCCAGTCACCCCATGTGAGCTGGTTGGTTCTTTTTCTGACTCAGAGGGTTTTTCCGGTCCTTCAGTTTTTCCTCCCTCCTCTCAAATCAACCCTAATTCAAACTGGTTAGAGCTGTGCTCCGGGGTCATACATGGAATGTATAGCAGCTGCCCCAGAGGTGCCTTCACATGCTTTCAGTTTGACCCCAATGAGCTGCGCCACTGCTGTACTTGCGGTGGTGATAAGTGAAGACAAGTTTTTTTTTGGGTTATCAGTACATTGTCTGCAGCCCTGATGATGATGATGATGATGATAATAGTGGTGGTGATGATAATGATGACAGTGACAGTGGTGTTGGGGGTATTAATGATGGTACAAGTTAATAATATTGACATGATGGTATTGATGAAAACAGTTTTTTTATAATCAATAGCCCCCACTTCTGAGATATGCTTTGCTTGTCACGCACAAAGAATTCACTGTGAGGCTTCATGCATAATGTAATTTGTGCTCAGTAATTTGTGACAGGAGAAAAGAATTAATTTATTTTAGCACATAGCCTTGTTTTAAAACCTTTGTTTGTGACAATTGAAAGATATCTCGGAAGTGGGCTATTGGAATTAGGTATCCCACTGGGGGATCTGCAGGGGGGACAATAACTAGTACAGCTCACATCAATGTTTGTTTTCTAGGACATGGATGTGAATAAGCTTCTTGATACTTTGAAAAAGCTGAACAACAAGGTGGAAAAACTAGAGAAAAGCAATGCTGAACTTGAAAATAGAGTAACTGACCTTGAAACAGTTGTTGCTGGTGAAGATAATGGAGAGGGCCACGATGAAGAGGATGATGATAAGTAACTGATAAGCTAAATAATTATATGCTTTCTACCATTTTGTATTTGTTTGACGAGAGGCTTGTTAAAATAGACAAAACTGCTTCTTCTGGGTGACACTTTTAGTTACATCCAAAGCAGTTTTGTGTTTGTAACAGATAGCTGTACTAGCTCTTACCATAGTACTTAAACAAGAAAGAAAGAAAACCAAAAATAGAAATGTCAGTGTTCGGCATTGCTGAACTGATATTTGCGTAGGGGACTTTAATGTTATTTTATGGTTTCTGCTTCTTCACTAGTGTTTTTTACTGGAATTTATACATCATGATTATACATCTGCATAGTAGGAAAAAAGATGAATCTTGTTACTCATTGACAGGCAACAAAAAGGTTTTAAAGTTTTGAGATTAGGTTTTATGTGAACCAAAAAGTCCATTCTTTTGATAATTATTTGTTAGTAGAACAGCAAAGAAACTGCATTTTCATACTATTATTTTTCACTAATTTCTGATAAATGTATGGCAGAAACCTTTTGATAACATGCTTAGTTCTCCGCTTATTTTTTTCAATACACATCTAAAGAAAATTACAATATTGTTCACTGCATTATATGTATCTGATTAAGGTGGACTTGGATAGACTTGATTTAGATGCAATGTTGTGGACTTTAGGTCAATCTGATATTTTGTCTGTAGATCTTATTCTGTTTCAAGTCAAGGTAGGAGTAGAAATACAGAAAATGTATGATTTAAACAACTACACCAACTTCCACTTGAAACTGCTAAAAGGTCTATTTTTCTTGGTTTTCAAGTGGAAAAAAATGTAGATGGTTTTGTAATAATTCTTAAAAGAATAAAATAAAAGACATGAAAATGTTTGGTTAAATATTGAGATTATTTTGTCAAGATCAACCAACAAAAGCATGCCTCTTAAATCTAGGTTTTCAACAATCTTATCAAAGTACAAAGTTTCTCTCATTCACAAAATTTGATATTTAGTTTAAAGAAAGTTTAAAGAAAATTCAATTCCCTAATGGTTTGGATGCGATAGAAAATCATTTTGCTTTCTACCTTTTCAGTCACCTTTTGTTATTGTTTCGATAGCAATCTAGGTGCTGTTGGTATTGTAAATTAAATATAAATATAATTTGATGTTAGGTAAAATTATCATGTACTGTGTAGCCTTAATTGAAAATCTTTTGGAGCCAACATGTATCTTTTGCAAGAAAGAAAATGTCAGTACTTTAATGTTGAATTGAAATAAAAAAAGTTTTTTTAACGTGGAGTTTTGAATTTAGTTGAGAATAACTGAATTTCTATTCTGGATAGTGGCACATTGGGAAGGTGACAGTAGTGTAAGAAACTGTCCGCAATGTGATAGTTGGATAATGGAGGTATTAATTGGTGGACAGGGCATCTGGGGTACTGTACTTCCCATATTACTGGGGAAGGGGACCCTACCCCTTTGGGCTGCTATGTCTTCAAATATCATGTTCAAGATGGGATCAAACACTCAAGAGATTTGCTGTCAGGTAGAAAGAATGGCATCATGTAGGAAGAATAAAAACAATGACTTTATCCTTTCAAGTTCCAAAAGTGCTCAGTGCCCCTCATTTTTTCCACTCATGCTTTGCATGCCATGTTTACTAGCTGAAAGGATGCATTCAAGGAATGTAATGGAAAAAAGACACATTTGGTTTTCTTATTTATTTGCTAAAAGACCTAAAACCAAAAATTGGACAAAAAAATTACATTATATACAATTCTTTATGATGAAAATCCTACAAAACCACGCCCATTAAAATAGTAGAAAGTGATCTTTTGCAGAGGAAACAATGAAAAAAAGCTATCTTACAGGCAAACTCACATGGAATTATCTAGGATTTACAGAATATAATCACAAAATACCATTTTTTACAAGAATGAAGGTCTTGGCAATGATTCACACTAAAACAGCGATTAGCAGCTTAAAAATATATTCTTGAACACTTTTCAGTTCTTAACATTCTTATGGTAATGTTAACAAAAAGCAAACTCGATTCTAACAAAAGATTGCTATTATTGGTTAGAAGCAGGCCATGTTAAATTTCTGGGCCTGGTTGTACGAAGGGTGGCTAGCGCTATCCTATTAATAAATCCTTATCCAGTGGATAAGTTGATGCTGTTATACAATAAATATATTCACCAGATAAAATGTATCCATTGGAAAGCACTATTCACCTTGCATTCCACTGGGCCCAGAAGGCTTTCCTACCAGCCGAGTAATAGATCTTTTTTGGATCTTCGCAAGTTTTTTTGATTTCACACCATTCAAGTATCACTTGTGAAACAAAAAACATGGTTGGCTCGTGAAAATGACTTCAAGAATCTTGGAAATAATGGGGGAAAAAACAATATGAAATCATTAGCAAACCAAGAATACATGTATCTACAGTGGCAACGACACCACAAATAATGAAAGATTTTATGATTAGGTACGTAGGTATATTTTCAGTGTATGTTCGAACAATTCACATCATATGAAGCTGAATCTAAGGCTACAAGAACTCAGTCTGAGAACCAGAGTTTTGAAAAGTGAAGGACAAGAGAGTGACAATAATGCAACAGTGATTTGGCAAGAATAAGAATTCTGTATGTAGGTAAGTTTGAAGTGTTTATGCAATCTTGTCCTGGTTCAATTGTGTGTTCATGTGAACCAATATTGTCATTCTGCCCCATTCAATCCCATGATTCCATGGGGTGCACATTGTTAACATATCCATTGAGCTTCAGAAGGGGAACACAACATTGAACAAAATGTCAATTCAATATGAGATTATTAGTTAGTAAAGTAATAATACATTATATACAAGTTGAATGATGTTGCTTAATGTTTGGGGGGATTTCTAAGCCTCATGGCATAAGGAGATTGGTGCTGTTGATTGTCTTGTTGTTGCTGTTGCTGCTGCTGCTGCTGTTGTTGTTGCTGCACCTGGTGTTGTTGTTGCACTTGCTGTACAACTTGTGGAGGGACTGCTGTAGCAGCCTGGGTCTGTGGCTGTGTAGTCCCAGCTTGGGAAACACCAGGGCTTGGATGGACTTGTATTTTTTGCACCTGTGAAACTCCAGGCATTTGCTTGCGCTGTTGCACTACCATCTGTACACCCCCTGGCAGGGAAGATTGGGTACCCTGGACTATGGTAGTAGTAACACCTTGTTTCAAGTTAGATGCTTGTGAGGTAGAAGCTTGAGAGGCAGCTGTTGCAGCTATTCTCTGAGCAGCTTGGGAGACAGCAGCTGTGCTGGCAGCCTGTGCTTGAAGTTGTTTCTGTTGCTGCTGCATTGCCAGTTGTTGTTGCTGTTGTTGCTTCATTTTGTGCAACTGTTGTTGCTGTTGTTGAATGCGCTGTTGTAGCTGTAATGCCTGCTGGGGTGTTAGCTGCTTTTGTAATTGATTTTGTTTCAGGATCTGCTGTATCGTAAATTGCTGCTGTTGTGTACTCTGTTGTTGTATGGTAAAYTTTTGCTGGGCCTGAGGATTCTGTTGCTGTTGTTGTAGCAATGCAAGTTGCTGTGGAGTTGGTGTTACTGGAATGGTCTTCCCTGAAACACTTGTAGTGGTTGTTGCAAGACCTGTTGATGTCTTGACCCCTGCCTGCCCTGCCTGTTGTTGTTGCTGCTGCTGCTGTAGTTGTATTCTCTTCAATTGTTGCTGTTGTATCCTCTTTTGTATTTGTTGTTGTTCAAGCATAGGCCTCTGGCGAAGAAGAGCTAACTGCTGAGGAGTAAACTGCTTAGCTTGTGTAACAAACTGTTGCTGTGCTACTGGAAGTTTATGACCTACAAGAATATCAAAAAGTCACGGAATTAAAATACAAACCATGATTGTAACAGCTATTATAGAGATAATGAGCTGCAGGGACTTAGCACCCCCCTTCTTAAAATTGCAATTTCACAATATGTTGTGACAGCAATAGCCCACTTCCAAAATGTGCTTCACTTGTCACGCACAAAGGCTTCACTGTGCGACTTTCATGCATAATGCTCAGAGATTCGTGACAAGAGAAATGAATAAATTTAAATTTGCACATAGCTTTGTACAAAAACCTTTGTGCGTAACGAACGAAGCATATCTCGGAAGTAGCCTATTGTCCCCCTTCAAAATCAGTTTCACAGTCCCCCACTCTCGCCCAAAACAGGCAGAGGTCTATTAATGGTCACTATAAAATGTGTACAAATACTTACTTGCCGATGCCACATTTGTTGTTGCAGTCTGACGTGCTGTCATCTTGAATAAGGAAAAAAACTTTAAGTTGTTGAATTCACATTCAATTAATTGATAATTTTCGTTTTGCAGCAAAAAGCCTGTGCATAGAAGCATGCAAGTGAAAATTAAATGTAGTTATACTTTTGCACAATGCGCTTTAAGTATGAAAAGAGATTTAAAAAAGGATTGTGGTAGTTTAAGTATGAAGTCTACAACCATATTAGTGGTAATAACTTCTTCTGTTCAAATATTCAAATATTTAAATATTTTTCTTTTTACTTAAACTGCTTCAGTAAACCGTGTGTCCAGTGAAGCCTTCCAATTCACTAGCCATTAGTCTTTTATTATTGATGAGAAAAGATGAAATTCAAGGCCTGGGATGACTGAACTGGACAAACTAACCTGAGCAGCAAGACCTGCAGTAGAACCAGCAGCAAGACTGGTAGTGACAATAGTCTTGGATCCCGGAACTCCACTGATAGTCCCTCCTATCATAGATGAAGTGGTCACCACTCTACCAGCACTTACAACTGTAGGTGACATACTCTAAAAGAAGAATTACAAAAAAAAAAACATTTCATATTCAAGGTTTATTGCAATTACTCCCTGAACGCCCCATACAACACAGTGCACTGTGTGCGGTGGCAGGTCCAAGCCTACCATAGATGATGAAGTGGCTACCCCTCTACCGGCAATCACAACTGTAGGTGACACTCTCTAAAATAACAACAAAATATTACAGTCTTATTATTTACACATACAGCTATTTCAAAAAAGGTTGAATACTGAATAGTGCATTGTCTCGTTAATTTGAAATAAAAAGTAAATATACAACAATTAACTCTCTACATGTAGTAGGTATATTGTTTCAGATGGAATACACTAAAAATAGAATAAATAATGATTATTAAGCCTACTTTAGACAATGTCACTATGACCCCCAATGTACTTCGGTCTTGGAATGCACTATTCAGTATGCAGTATTCAGAAAGTTTCAGTTTTAAGAAAGGTCTCTTATCATTGCAAGCTCAATGTTTGTTTCACTTTGATGCAAAGTCACGGCTACCTTTCAAAATGGCGCAGAGGACTGTGAAGGGGACTATTATGAACAGATATCCAAACCAATCCAAGTTTTGATTTAATTTGTTGTCTTCATATTTGAATGAGTTTGAGAAGAGATGACACTCCAAGAACCAAATCAACTTACCCTCAGACCAGCCTGTCCTTGTGATGTGACTTGACTCTGCATGCGCTTATTGATGGTAGCAAATGGTGAGCTTGTTGGGTTAAGACTGTTGGTTCCTCCTGTAGGGGTGTTAATGATAATGCTAGTCCCACCAGAAGTACTTGAATTACTACCCAAGACTATCCCAGCTATTGGGAAGAGATAATAGTGAAGTCAATTAGTTACTGATGTATGTCGCAACCTTTAGTGACGTTCACAATATACACCTATTTCAGAAATCATTGTCGCACCAAAAGCCTCAAGCAACAAGCCAAGACCGCAGAGAACGCCGGTACTCTTAGCTGTAATAAGCTTATTCATGGTGCATTTTCATTTATTGACTTCACAAATTGCTCCAAGCAAGGCTGCTTGAGATGATAATTAGTGGAGAGCTATAGCCACTTGCACGAAGCATGAATAAATCAATTTTTGATTAAAAGTACCGACGTTCTCTGGAGCCTTGGCTTGTTACTTGAGGCTCTTGGTGCGACAACGATTTTCAAAATAGGTGTATAAAAATGCAGTTAAAACCCACATAAAAGTACCAATGGATTAAGAGAAGGTTGAAATTTAGCCAATAAAGCACCCAATTATATACAACAACCACTTCAGTCAGATAAATGAGACAGGTTCTTAAGTGAGAAGTATAATAAGAGAAATAGTTTGAGGAACAGAAAAAATTACATACATACTTTATTATCTTTCCCCATAAGAGCTTTTCAAAAATTCAACACAAACACACTAATAATGCTGGTACTAACGTTTAGTGACTAGACCAGTGGTAACTGTAGTTCCTTGTAGATTTGTTACTGTCTTTGGTGGTGAGGAGTTCTGGAGAGAAGCACAGAAAAGAAATGTTATTATGGAACATACTTCTAACTGGCAAACTGAAGATCACAGGTTCAAATATCACTTGTAACTCACATTCTTTTTTCAAGAAATTAATAAATTCTTAATTCTAGATGTAGAGCGGATAATATTGCTTTCACTAAGGTCCTGTTTGCGAAGGCAAGTAAGAAATACTACAGAGACCTGTGACTAAGGATTGGACAGCAGGTATACCGTACTATACCAAGCACGAGTAATACTAGAACAGAAGATTTATCACATAAAGATTACCTATGTGCAGCAGATCAATACTAACGGGACAGAAACTTAACCCATGACAATAGATGTGATGTATCAAAATCGTACGACAATATGCAGTAGTAGTCAACAATACTTACTCCTGCAGTAGAAGCAGCTTGTGCAGTTGGGGCAGTTGGTTTCTGTGTTACCAGCTGTTGTGTTGGCACACTTAACTGTGCTGCCTGCTGCACAAATTGTGGTTTTTGCTGTTGCTGTTGCTGTTGTTGACTCTGAACTGGAACCTGAACTTGAGCTGGAGTTTGTACTGGCTGCTGAGTTGGCTGCGCAGTCTGCTGTTGCTGCTGCTGTTGTTGTTGCTGTTGTTGCTGCTGTTGCTGCTGTTGTTGCTGCTGTTGCTGCTGCTGCTGCTGAAGCAATAATAAAAACAATGCTCAACAAAAACCAACTCAAAATTGTATTTGATGATGTATTTTGGCTTTTGGCTTTCAGGTCATCAGACAAAACAGCCTTTGACCTTGGTCATCAGTATAAGCATGGATAGTTCATCATCAAGCCAACCACATTTAAAATCTAACTACCATCTTTTTTTCATATTCCTTCTTGAATGAAGTGATCAATCACCCATTTGTGCACCTGGGTATCTTACATAATATATTTGAACTAATAAAACTCAGTTAACCAATCAATCTTAGGAATCAAGGGTGATGTGGCACTGGCAAATCTCAACTCTTAACAGTAAGGGCTCTTGTTGATAACAGTGATTGTATATTTACTGAAAGGATTAACCCTGTTTGAATAAAAAGTATCTACATCTTACCGCTGCAGCCTGGGCAGCCTTCTCTCTGTTGATTCTCTCAGTCTTCAGTGTGGCTAGCTGGATGGGGTTTAGAGTTTTGTCTTCTGATATGCCACTACAAAGAGAAAATATTCACTTTAGTCACAGTAATTTAATATGAGAGTGATAACTAGCTAAAAACTAGTGTGAGCTGCGTCGGTGTTTCTAATGAAACAGTAATGATAAAAAGGTAAATTATACACCGTAAAAAGATGAAAAAACTGACGTTTTGGACGCTAGTCTTTCATCGGAGTAAAAGAGAAAGAGGTGGTAGAAAGGAATGTTTATATGATTAGAATAAGACAAAAGAAACCAATGAGAACAAAGTAGGCAAGAAAACAAAAACAAACAAAAACAAACAATTAAAAGACAAAAGAATGGGAATGGTACTAGCTAGTTTTTTCGTCTTTTCATGGTGTCTAATTTACCTTTTTATCATTCTTGTTTAATATGAGTGCATGGTTTTAGAAGAAGAAGAACGAAAATGAGACAAAAAATACCTTCCAATGAGAACAGATGACTGCTTGTAACTCTTGTTATGAGAATCTGTCAGCCTGCAAAACAAACAAGGTTCTTATTTTCTTGCTAATTACTAAAAAAACCTTGATCAAGTCATATAATTAAGAGAAAAGACCTTTTTATCAATATGGCGGCAATCTCAAATTCTATTGTTTTAAACAAGGCATTATGCGATGCTTAGGGGGCAACTTTTAGAAAATATATGGACTGCACAGCTGTCAAGGTGTCTTTTTTATGTAACTTGTGCTTTTTAATGAAGCACACCTAAAAATTGAATTTGCTGGTAGTTGAAACTGGAAACAATATGTGAAACACAACGCCTCAAATTATTTGAAAACGTGGCCCCACCACTCTATACTCTGTGTTTTTCAATGTGATTTTCTCTGCATTTGACACCTTGGTAATCCATAATTCAAGATGGCTGCCATATCAGTAAAAACGTCCATTGAAATAATGTTGTGTGGCTACACTTACAGCTGCTTTACTGTAGGTTTTCGCTTGGTGGCAGTTTTCTTGACCAGCTCAAACAAGGATGAATGAAGCACTGTTGGTGACCTGCCAGCATCTTGACTCAATAGATGATATGTCCTAAATGTCCTTCCACTTTTAGACTGACGGCATGAAATAATGACAAAAGCTAATTAAGATTAATTTCCATAACTATATCCATTACAAGACAAAGGAAATACGAAATCTCAATTTTATTTTTGGTATATGATTTTCTGTTTTGCTATTTGCTGTCTTTTTTGCTATTTGCTGTCTTTTTTGTTGTTGTCAGGAGGAAAGATGCATAGTCTTCCAAACTTTCCTAGTTACTTGTCCTCATTGACATCATCATCAACATCATCACCATCTTCATCATCATCATTATCATCATCACAACCATTGGTTTCAGCATGATTTTTATTGTCATGATCATTCATCATTATCACCACCAATACCTTTACCACACAATCAACTCAGTTGGATTAAAAAACACGACTTTGCATACAAAATGTAAATCATCTATCTAGATATTTTTCTTGCAATTTTTCTATATATAGTAGGAAGTGTTGCAGAAAATTCTGCTACTTGCAGGCAGAGAATAGGTTTTGGATAAGATTTTCGGTGTTGTTATAGTGGGTTTAATCAGCCCTGTATCTACAGGATTGTTATACCTTTGGAGGAACATGATATGGAACAGACTGTCCAGATGTTGATGGCTGATTATAGGGTTTAATTTTTGTCTTCAATTTCCTCAAAGAATCCTCAAGTGTCGGCTGAAACAAAACAGGAATTTTCTTTAACACTTCAAAATTTAAGACTAGCTTAGTTAGAAAAACCAAAACTAAAGAGTTTGTATTATTTTCAAACAAGTAGCAAGATGTAAACTACCAGTCTTCTCCAGATAAAACTTTACAAGGACTAAATGTTTGAAATGGTTGACATAGTCACATAATTTCTTGGACGTGAAATTTTCCATTTTGAACCACTTGGGGAAAAACCAAAAGATTTTCCTTTCAGTTACACTCATAACAATTCTGTGCAAGGGAAAAATACTAAAGAGTTTAGGAAGAAATTACATCCATTAAATGGTCTACTTTAAACAACCTAAGCAGAAAACTTACCATGGGAACTTTTCCCTCTTCTCTTGGCATCACCATGTTGACATAGCGGTCACGACACTAGAAGCAAAAAACAGTACCATTACCTTAACCACATACTGCCAACAAAATAAATACCACAAGTTTGAAGTAAAACGTTCATGCAGACTTGTGGGAGACTAATGATACATACCTGCCGAGGTGATCTATACATTCTACTGTTCAGATTGACGACATCACTAACAATGTCCCAGTTAGGTACCTGACTTGGTACACCTGCTGTTAGATCCACTGGAAGTTCTTGTAATGAGCTCACAGCCTTCAAAAAATACATACAATAAATGATAAATAATAATGGACTACTTTGACAATATGGCAACCATCTTGCCTGTGGGCAAAACAAAATAAAGCAACAAAAAATATATAGTGTTTCATGCATTTGTCTTTTTTTGTGGGTAAAGGTTATCAATGTGCCATCTTAATTCAATTTTGTCATAATATTCTCTTGTGAGCTGTAATACCAATCGATGTCATTGCTGTAACAAAGCTTTATTTGCCCCCTTGACACCCCTTAATGCCTTGCGATCCAAGATAGTTACCCTACTGTTAAAGTAGTTCTGCCAATCCCAAAGTGCTTTCTAACTGCCCCCAGCACAGCAGGCAAGTTTTGTATTTATTTTATGAAATCCAAATTGAAATAGCCATCATCTAGAAACGGCAAAATAGATATGCACCCCTAGCCAATCAGAAAGCCACATGTATAACTCTTTTCTAATAATGTGGTAGATTACCTGTAGTAAAGCCCAGTCCTCATGCACCAGCCATTCAGGAACACTAGAGCCCTATAAATCACAATATCGAACCCTGTTAAACCTAACAGTTAAGTTGATAGAAATCTAACAACCAAGACAGACAACTACAGTGTCAAAGTAATTATGAAATTAGATTTACAACAGTTTTCAATACCATGCTCAGAATCTTGCAATTTACTATCCATCATGAGATTAATGGTGTTTATAGGTGATGTGTTGCAAATGCTTTGAAAATTTTTTTAATGTTATTTATGAAAGTCATTTGATGCATATATTGTTCCTAAATGGAGATCAATGAAGTCCTTATGTTTGCAAGCACAAATTACAGGCTTTAAGGGTTTTACTTGTCTACAGCTGTTGACAGCAGTGATTTAAACTCAAGCTTGCACTTTCTCCAAATGTAAAGGAAGTAATAGGATCTGATAGCAAGGTGCGATCTCTACTAACCTGAGTGTAATCAGACTGTTTCATCATGCTTGGCATGGTTGGTTGCTTCATCTTCAGCTTTGTTTTCTTGGTTATTGAATCTCTTCTTCTTCGGCCAAATGTATCAACTCCAACTCTATCAAATACAGATGCAGGCCTGCGAATTTGGTCCCTTTGGGAAAAGTATAACAAGACTAAATAGGCAGCTACATGCAGTAATACAGCTTAAATACAAGCGTGGAGGGAGGAAAACAGGAGAAAATCTCTTCAATCAAGGGAGAGACCTAACAAACTCTACTCACATGTGATGGGGATTCAACCCGAGACCCCATTTGTGAGAGTTGAGCGCACGACTGCTTCGTCTACCTTGATTCCCTAATCATATAGTCATAAAACTTAGCACTTACTTGGCAGGACCATGTAAATGCTCTCTGAAGTACTTGATGATTCTGTAAACTGTTCGTTTTCCACTGTGGTATTTTCTAAAATGTCAAAACAACATGTATTAGAATCATCATATGACAACATATATTAGACTCATTAGATTATTATTATCATAGTTTTAGCATGGGCCTGTTTTTCAATTTCAGCCAAGGTATCATTCTCTTTAGGATAAGATTCTGAAGTATACATATTCATGTACCTTCTAATATATTATAGTGTTAAGCAAAGAAATAATACTATAGAAAATGACACATGCTTTGCCTCACATCCTGATTGGTTAGTTTTGTAAAGAATGGTTTCAGTTCATGAACTGTAAAACATTTTTTTAATGTGTCTTACTTTGTAGAGTGCAAAGGAGGTAGATGGCTTTCAGTCATGGGCACTGTCTCATACAAATGAGCCACTGCTGGATCTACATATATTTCATCTTTATCCTCTCTTGGTGGGGTTGGAGGAGTCCATATCTATGAACACCAAAACATAAGACATCATTTACTAGTACTGTATTATTAATTCTCCTTATTCATTTCAGCTTGAAAACTCATTTGCTCTAAATGGTGGTCAAACACTGGCCGCCATGTGCTGTCAACCAGAAAGAAATCTATAAAATGATTTGTAATTCTGATGATAAACATTCCTAATTAATTTATTAGAAGTTCATTTTACACTTGTGGGACATGGAATAAACTCTAATGAGAATGATTCAGTACTTACTTGCATCTCCTCACCAGTCAGATCATTAACATATACCTGGCGACAAAGAAATGATAAAACATTAACACATTAGGTATAATAAGGTACTCTGACAATAACAAGCAGCATTTATCACAAGACATCTGAAAAGGGGTGGATTCTAAGGGGCCACCTATCCTCCTATCCTAGAATTTCATAATATTGAAACTATTGACTATTCTTCTCATTAATACTATTTAAGGTTACTGAAACTACCAATAGAGGCTTCGCACCATCACGTACTGGTACCCATTATACAGCTTGGACTGCCGGTGGTTAGATAGCAGAACAATAAAATCCCTTTGCTCTCGGGAATCGAATTCTTTCTCATGTAAGAATATTGTTTTGTTCCTGCCATCTAACATGGCTGCTGTCACATGATGGTGCTAAGCCTCCATACCACCCCAGAAAAGAACTTATATTTGATGAGAATGGGGGCAATATCATCAACCCCAAGACATGGATACTCTAGAACTACATATTGATAAAACACAAAACTATAAACCAAGCCAATCCAAACAACAATTTCATTGAACCCTTGAATAGCCTTTACGCTGATCTACAATAGGGTGGTAGCCCCAAATAAAATTGAATTTTAGTGTGTTGATTGTTCTAAATTTATTGTCCAGTACCGTTTCTTCATTTTGTACTATTGAACAATGAACATTCCATTCATTGTCAAATCTTTCAAAATAAAATTGTTGTATGAAATGACAAGGGCGGATCCAGGGGGAGGGTCGGGGGGGTCGCGATCCCCCCTGTCATTCCTGAGGTCAAATGGGCTTCCTGTGGTAAAAATGCGACTGGGATTCCTTTATCCACAAAATTTACCCCTGAGACCCCCCCTTCAAAAAAACCCTGGATCCGCCCTTGAATGATATCATGGTAGAGAAAAAATAATCATGATACCGTACACAACACTATTTATAGACCCATTGCTACACTTTGGAATGCTGCTCAATCTGGGGGACAAGACAATAGATTTCAATTCTCAGGAGATTAGAATTCTTATTGCTTTGTCCCCCAGATCAAGCTGCTTTGACGTCACATGCAAGGGGTCTATTCAAACCAAGGCATTTGATAGTGCATTTGACTGTATCTTGAAAAGGCCTATTCTTAGACTTGGGCAGACTTGTTATGCCATGTTTTGAATGCTAAGCTGAGAGCCTTGGTTACTTGGGTCCAAAGTGCTGAGCATTCCTTGCTCCTCTCTTGAATGATGACACATCATGGATGCAAGATGCTGGTGTCACAAATTTTGCCATGAATAATTTGGACATGAGAATTTAGAAATGGTAATTAACTCCAACACCGATAAAAGGAATTATGTCTGGTTTAAAAAGTCACCAGCAAATCCTCTGGCTAAAGATCATAGTGACAAGCACTCTTGCAAAAATGTCAGTGGCATAAACCAATGACCGCAGTGGACATGCAACAATACTTTGGACACCAACAACCTTGCTCTGCAGTCTATTGCTTACCAGATTGCAGCATCTCAATCAGATATCATGGTTCAGAAAACCTCTCATAAACATCCATAAGAAATGTTTTCTAGAACCAATATTCAAGAGAACAGCAAAGAAATACGCAGACTCAGTCACTTTTCCAAGCTTTATTTTGTAACATTTTTGTAAAGTTTTTGTAAAATGTTTATCATAGAGAAATAATTATTATACTGTGCAAGATATTTTCTCCTCTAATGTATCTGTCTATGAATTACTCTGTACAAGTAAGGAAAGAAATACAGAAATTTCCATTACTCGAATATTTGAACAAATTGGTACACTAACAGTACCAGTTCAACTGATTCCAATTTTGTTACCAGCACTCTGTTTCATTATTCTTTTTGTGATCAACCTATTTCACTTGTTGAAATAAACAATAAATTTTGCCTTGTTTTGAAAGCCAGAAATAGACTTTGTACAATTTTTGTAATCGATAATTTCATTCCAACCAAAGAAATCCTAGGTTCAACCTTGCAAACCAATTTGTCACATAAATTTGTCGAAAATTTTTTGCTTTTTTTTTTTACTCTTTGCATTCTTCATTATCTCAAATGAAGAATTTCTGAAAGAAATCTTAGAAATCCTAATATTACCGTAAAGAATCTCTCGAGAAAAAGAAGCCATATAAATGTCAATCAAATAATTTATGCTTTGCTCTGCCTTGTTACCCTACTAGAACTGCTACAGCTACTGCTTCTACTGCTAGTTCTAGAAGTATAGCACTTAGGCGGCCTACTATCCCTTGTATCTCCACTCTTGCCTTCTTGTGGGCCAGCACAAGAGCTTTCTTTATCAGACATGTTAGCTTTCTTATTTCTAGATCTTTTACTAGCTGAACTTCTGCTACTGTTTCTACTACTGGGTCTAGATGTTTTAGATTTAGATTTAGATTTTTTAACCTGTGCAGCATCCTCCCGTGCATATGTGAACAGAATTTCATCCTCATCTTCTGCAGCACGTTTCTCCTCCTCCTCCTTTAGAGCAAGTATATGGTCCATTTCCCAATCTTTCTTTGCTGTTTCAACTTGTTCCTATAAGAAAAATTAATCTGTTCAGCTAAAATTCATAACTTTTTTGTTTTTACATCCTCATTCTTAAATTGAGACATTTTTTGGCTTTCAGGTCATCAGACAAAACAGCCCTTGACCTTGGTCATCAGTATAAGCATGGATAGTTCATCATCAAGCCATTTGTCAATACAAAAGTTTTTGTTAAAAAATAATTTTTATATACCTGTTCTTCTATCTGTTCTAGAGTAACATAGGCACCAGAATTCTCAAAGAATCTAACAGCATATCTTTCAACAGGAGTGAGCTGTAAGGAAGAGAAAATAATCGATAAACTAGTACATAGATAAAGAAATCTAACTATAAACCATAAATTTTCTTCAAGAGTTTTTTTTAAATATAAAGTTGAGCTTCCATGAAAAAATTTGAAAATTAACAGGCCACTCTCACTTAAACTGTTGAACATGTTCTTCCAGTGGCCATTACCTGACTTTCAAGTGCCGTGAGCTCTTCTTCTAATCTTGATGTTTCTTCATCTCTTTCCTGTAAAGAAACATTCAACAAACTATTTTAATATCAAGCAACCTTAGCATGATAATCAGTAAACAACAAATCTTAAACAAAGGGATATTGTTGATTGTGAGATCAGGGTGAAACGTACCTTGCTTGCCTCATCACAATAAGGAATGCCCTCATCAAACTCAGCTAACTCTGCAGCCTCCTCTGCTATGGCTTTGGTAGCAGCACAAGCATCTTGTTCATCTTCAGCTCCTAACAAGGCCTGCAAAACCAATAAGTTTATTTAAAATATTGATTTATGGTMTAGAAGATAATGGTTGCATAATACTAAGACAGATGGCAAGATCAATGAACAGGTGACCAGTAAGGTGATGGGTCAAGAGGAATGACCTAAGAGGTGATGGACTGAACATTGTTTGTTGACCAGCCACAAGTTTTATCTTTGGGAAAATATCTTTTGTTTAGTCCTTATAGATATGATATAATATGAGTAATGGTGTGCATCCATTTCCCCAAAGCTGTGAAACACTAAATAACTGACTGGATGCCATAAAGACAACACTGTTCATAAAAATGTATATGTTTCCTGGTCTGGTGACTGCAACACCCACTGGCTGAACACCACAATGTCACAGTTAAACAAGGATAAATATTTAGCTGGCCGTCATGATCTGACAGGAATGTATTATCCTGAAAGACATTGGAATAACCAGCAACTTCTTTGGGGGGGGGGGGAAATAGGCACAGTTGAAAACATGACCTAACATTTTATCTCTGCTGATAATAGACTTATTCTTGATTATTATTATTGATGATCAATGTGAGTAGGCAGCTCTAGAACCATAGCTGATAACAGTGGAGTGTGGGCAGTGAGGCACTCAACTTCAATACACAGCAGCATATAATACACCTCCTCATTAATTACCTGTTCCAGCAGATTTTGCGACACCTTTTCACCAGTTGCTTCAGGTTTTGGACTAGCTTCCTTTTCTTCAGTATCTTGTGTTGCCTCTGTCTCCTCTTCTTCAATAGCTCCCTTTTTGGCATTTTCCCTTGCTTTAGCTGTTGCTGTAAGAGCTGCCTCAAATCCACCAGCAGAATCAATTGCAAACAATTCTTTCAGGCTTGCCTAAACATTTTGGACAAAAAAAACAGTTAGAATGCTCTCTTGCAACTGATACTGAGAGTATGGACAGTCCTAAGGTGGACCTTGGACCAAGGTATATTTGCAGGTACAAATTCTAATGTTGCACTCTCTCAGTTAATGTAATTCCCTGGATAATGGTTGGGCTAGTTGGAGACAATAGAACCTATGACAGTCATACCCATGTGGTAAATAAGACACTTTGTTTAAACATTAAAATCAAATTTTGATGGAAATCAATGGAAACCCTTAAATTCTATCAACAGACCCCTTGCATATGACGTTAAAGCAGCTCCATCTGGGGGACAAAATGAAAGAATTCCAATCTCCTGAGAATTGGAACCTGTTGTTTTGTCCCCCAGATTGAGCTGCATTCCAAAGTACTGCAAGGGGGCTATACCCTAAAAGGACCTGTGGATATGGCTAACTCAATGATCGAAATGTACTTTGTTAGGCTTGCTGAGGGAGGAAAACTAAAGGACCTAGTAAAACCCTCAAATCAAAGGAGTGACCTAATAAACTATACTCACACCTGATACTAAGTCCAGGAATCAAACTTATCAATCCCCAAATGATATATATATTTTTTATATATACTCTTAATAGGTTACGATGGGCATGAAAATGATGTCTCCATTTTTTGGTGTAATTTAGAATGGCTGTGAAGAACAAAATACATTACCTCTTTCAAGAATGCAGTAGTAAAGTTACCACCTTCGATAGCAATATCACCCAGTAATCTCTTCTGATTGGCCTTCTTTAGGATATTCTCTTCAACTGTTCTCTCACTAATGAGCCTATAGATATTTACATCTCTGGTCTGACCAATACGATGACATCTGTCTTGAGCCTGTGCATCCATGGTGGGGTTCCAGTCACTGTCATAGAAAACTACAGTATCTGCACCAGTAAGATTGACACCAAGTCCACCACTACGAGTTGACAGTATAAAGCAAAAGATTCTTGAGTCTGCATTGAAGCGATCCATCAGTAACTGCAAAAATATATAGCAAGCCAAATAAACTATAAGGTYACAATGAAAGCTTTTCCAGTTAAAAAATGCAAAATATAGACTTCTTCAAAATCAAAATTTTTAAGTAAAGCCAAAGGTGCTCATTTTTTTTACATGATATATTAACGAATGCTTCTTTTTGAGCAGCTTTTGGTAACAGAGATTGCATTATATGTATAAAATAATAGCGCAGCACACTGATTCTAATAAAAGCTTAAAGATTTGGACAAACATTGTATTCTGTTTAACCGCTACGAGGAATATATGAACCAATTTTATTATTTTTACTTAAAGTTACAATAATAACCCATGTAAACTAAGATCAACTCCGATCGGCTGTGAAAATTATCTGCTGAAAGTAAACTTGTAAGTTTGTTTGTCCGAATTTCGCCTTTGTCTTCGTTTTTATGATGTCACGGTTGTGTTGCGCTATTGATGCTGTACTGACCTGTCTTTGTTCCACTTTAGTTGAACCATCAAGTCTTAAATATACATGCCCATGATAGTTAAGGAATTTTTCCAACACATCAAGCATTTTGGTCATCTGGGTGAATATCAATACCCTGAACAACAAAAATATCACAATTATTAGGCTAGGACTTGAAGGGTTGGTTCGAGTGCTCTGTGTTAGGGTAGATGTAGCTCTCGACAGGATCCTTTAGCAAGGAATAATTTGTTTTCCTACTAAAGGGTTTTGAAAGAGCATAGCAACCTAATCTAGGCCAGTGCACAATCACAATGAATATATAGTTATAACCCAAAGTACTGATTGTCTGGACAAGGCAAAAATGTTTAGATTTAATGTTGTAATTAGATAAACTTGATTTCTTATATTATGCTTCTAAACCAAGCATTTTTATGACATCATTTTTACAATCCTCACCTGTGTTTCCCAAGTTTTAATTCTCTAAGAAGGATGTCAAGAGTTTGAAGTTTACCTGCAAGGTATTCGATAATGAATTATTGTTAACAGAAATATGACATTGTTGAAACAGATGTCATGGGGAAACTTGTAGCTATCAATTTGATCCTCTTTGTACTGTCTTTTCCATGTAAGCACAAACACCATATAACAAAACATAGGGCAGTGGCTCCTGAATCTTTAAGTTTTTTCAGCTAAATCCTCAACGTTTGTCAATTTTAAACAAGACCACCTTTTCAATTGACATTTAGCAAACAAACAGTTCCCAAAAATGTAAAAGTTTCTGGAGCTAGTTAGAATATATTTTGATGTCTGGTATTCACATCAAGATTCAAACCATGATACTAAGAAATTATGATCTAGGATTTATAATATTTTCAAAACAAATCACATGGGGTATTATGGAAGAACATGTAGCTCTCGACAGGATCCTTTAGCAAGGAATTATGATCCTACTAAAGGGTTTTTAAAAGAGCATACCCACCTAATCTATGCCAGAACATAACTACAAAAGAGTAACACGTAATACTCAAAAGTTTAAAGATGACTGGCACAATATCACCTCATTATAATCCAATAAGCCTTTTCATAGTTTAAGAATCGATTCCACTGCGCATGCGATTTTATCCCGAATTTCTCACCTTTTGTTTAATTAGGAACAAAAGAAGGTTTAGACAAAAGAAAGTGAGAAATTCGGGATAAAATCGCATGCGCAGTGGAATCGATTCTTAAACTATGAAAAGGCTTATTAAACCTGATTTCTAAAATCTAGTCACAGAACATTTGGGAATATAGCCTTTCTATGGATAAGAGACTTTTGCTAAAAAAACTTAAGATATATATATATTTTTTATTATGGCTTACCACAGTCATATTGTATAAGCCTAGCTTCAGGAAACTGAACTGTCACTCCTCTTACAAATGGATGTAAAAGATCAAACTTGGGCTTCAGCTGAGATGTTAATGTTTCTTCTAGGTGTCTTTGCTTGTTGGATTGATGTGGTGATGGATGAGAACAGTGTATAACAATTCCAGGTGAGGATGCCGGCGGTACATTGAACACAAACCTTAAAACAAAATTCAGATCACTTGGAGTTAAAGGGCCACTTGGATGAAAACAAAGTAATTGAAGTATTTGAGGATGATATGACTCAATCATGATTATGAAAACCAGATTAGTGAAACGCTTAGCCTGGGAGTCATTTGCAGTTGAGAAATTTTGGTTCAAAAGCAGAAAGAACAATAGGGTTGAGTGCATGACGCCATTTACTCACAATTTAGATGCTGATTAAAATTGACAACACATTTTACTGTGAAGAAAATGATGTTTTGCTACTAGTGGGGCAATAATTTTTATCCATTTTCATCCAAGTGCCCCTTTAACACTGAACACATACATTTACAGAAGGGCACAGAGCAGATTTTTATCAAAAAAATGATTTCCTCGTGAGTTACCTTTTGATAATTTCATTCATTTCACTGATTCTTTGTTCAGGTTTCTTGATCATTTCTTCTAAGGCATCTGAATGATAGTAACTGTCTTGACCAAGTTGTTTAACAATAGTGACAGCTTTGACCAAGTCAAGACCATACACAGGCTGTTGTCTACAATGGTAGCTATTTGCTAGTGCCAGACGAGCCAGCTTTTCCTTTCGCTGTTTTGCTTGCCTTTCTGACAGAAAGCTCTAAAGTGTTGAAAAAAAAGTTTAAATGTAAAATATGTTTAAGAAAAGATACCACCAGTGCCTTGTGTAAAGCAAATTAAGAGTGCTTTTTATGATAATCAGCTCAGCACTTCTAATGTTATCATGATATTTCAACAACACGGACCAGAAGTATGCACTCATCATGTGCTGATTATAAACCACTTCAGTGAAAAACAGTACTGCCACAGTCAAATAAGACCAACCACAATCCTTACCAGAAAAAATGGAGATGACCTATTTTCCTTATGTGCAGGCTCCACATTTCCCACCCTTTCTACAGCTAGTTTCTTAGTTGGAGAGATCTGAACAGGTACTGGGTCTGGATGACCTGCATCAAGCACTCTTCCATGAGGAATAGATTGAGTTGGATAACGCGTAACAGGAGATTTAACAGGCACAACTGGTTGCACAGAAACACCAGGACCAAAGCCAATGGGATCCAGGGGTGGAGTAGGAACATTAGGCCGATTGTTAGAGTCCATAGCAGGAAGATGTCCTGGGTAGGGAGGAGGTGGAGGCATGGGTGTGGCTAGTCCCATTGGGTACTGGCCTCGAGTTCTACCCATTTCTCCTGAGCTGTGTCTAGTTGAGTAGCTATGAGAAGGTGGTGTAGATGTTAATCTAGATTGCTGCATTGCTACAGCTGGATGAACAGCAGATCCAGGACCATATGGTGTACCATCTTGGTGCCACATCATTGCTCCATAGGGAGGAAATGCTCTGTGATCCTGAAAACCCTGGCTAAAGGAGTATGTTGCAGTCCYAGGGTGAATAGTATTTGTACCACCATAACTGACTGCAGAGGACACTGGATAGCTCATAGCAGGTACTCTTTTCAGCTTTGCTGCTGGTACCAAAGGTGTAGCAGCCACTGGAATATTGTCTATTTCCACTATAAGTTGTTTTGGTGTCTGCAAAGACTGAGTTCTATAAGCAGCATAACTTGTGACTGTAGTCTCAATGTCAGCCAAGCAAAGGTTAATAAATCCAAGATCCACATGCTTGAATGGGTCATAATCAAGAGCGTTCATAATCAATGAAGATGTGTAATATACAATGGCACTAAGTCTTAGTGGAGACACTATTGGGCGTGGTTCAAACAAGTCAGGATGGTTGCAGACCTAGATAAAAAAGACAACCAAGATAACTATGGGTTGTACCTTCTTAGAAAATGGTCAACCATTCTGTGCACTTTTTTGAATGACTCCTTTTTTTTCTGCATGACTCCTACTGGACTAGTTTTTGTGTTTTGAGAAGCTCAGCACTTCCTGGGTTATCATGGTTATTCAACAACACGGACCAGAAGTTAAACTCATCATTTGCTAATCAAAAGTCGAACAAGTACAGTAGGTGGCCATACATTTAATAAACAAAGGTGCATACTGACATATGAATTCTAAAACTGGGTTAACATGTAACAGACACTGAAAAATGTATTTATATTTTTAACCTTTATTTAAGCCCCTATGTATAAGTGATCTTGGACCCATGATCTTTTCCATAATGCAAACTCATGAGGCTCATTGAGGCAACTACATTGTTAGATATATAAAGAAACTTGTAATTGTAGCTCAGTATTACCTTTCTTAGCTGCATGAGGATATTAATGACACTAAGAAAGTGCCCAGACTCTAGAGTTTCCTTGGTTCTGTAAAGAGTATGTACAAAACAATAAATCAGATCAAGATCACTAAGCCCTTGATTTCATTAATATTTTCATTACTGTGAAAGCAAAGAAACAAATTGAAAAAAAGTAAACATCTCGAAGAACAACAATCCAAAGACAAGGGCAAATGTTCGTATGTTTAAAATCTTATGACTACATAAAGTAACCATTTAAAACTCACAGCAACTAACAATCAATCGTATGGTACTCACTTAGTACGAGACATGAAGTCATCATAGAGAAATCGTTGCCTTTTAGACAGACGGCATCTATACACATGTTCATATTTGTGTGGCATTTGAGTTTCAACCTCCAGTTTGAGTCTTCGTAATAAAAATGGTCTTAAAACCTAGAGACATGAAACAAAGCAACAGGTTATTCTCATACCCTTCTTAGCTTTCCAACAAAATGGAAGACCCAGGTTCTAGGTCATGTAATATGTGTATGCCTTCATAAATTCAACCATCGTTATTGCAAGTTTTAAAAGTAATTTTTTCTTCAAAAGAAAAGCTATCCAAGCTCATTAAATGTAGCTCTCGACAGGATCCACTTGATGCACGAAATGTGCTTATCATGTGGGTTTTGAAAGAGTTCCTTATTCTAGGCCTCTTGAAATTATCGATGTCGAAGAGTTGTCAACATCAATATTGGATAGTGGCCATGTAACAAGACATTTTCAGCTTGGGCAAAATTTGTTTCCTCATTTCAGTCCACATGTCATTCTGATTGGAGTTATTTTGTTTTCTAATATGCATTAATATGGATGTGATTTAGTCAAAGAATCATATTCCGAAGAGAATGAAAAAGTCTGAAATGTAAAAATGTTGCTCTCAAGCTGAAAAAGTCTGTAAAATTCTAATAAAGAAAATATAAAGTGCCTAAAAACTTACATTTACTGATTTGCTTTTATTTAGTGGAAATTATTTTTAGATTGATACCTTGTGCAGTCTTTTGACAAGATTTTCATTGTATTCTCTGCTTCCTTCTATCATACCAGTAAGAGGGTTAGAGAACCATTCCTTGAAATCCTTGTGAGATTGGAAAAGATGAGGCATCAAGAAGTGCATCAAAGACCAGAGTTCCATCAAGTTATTCTGTAATGGGGTTCCTGTTAATAGTAACCTCCTTTGGCTATTGAAATTCAACAGGTATTGCCATCTCTGAGACTTGAAATTTTTGATATTTTGAGCCTAAAATAATAACAACAATAAGTCAATGGCTTGGTATGAATATTACTAAAAAGATTCACACCATTACATGCTACCAACCTCATCAAGGATTAAGTATTTCCATTTTTTCCGTCTGAAAGCTTGATGATCTTGGATTACCAGCTTGTATGATGTAATACAAACATGGAATGCATTGGGTTTTGTCCATCCCTTAGAGGTAGAAGTAGATATAATAAAACAATATGGAAATCAATTACACATTAGTCATTTACAACATGTATAAGATTAGTCATTAACCTCTTTGATAGTGGTTAATAAGGTATGGAAAACTGACAGGGCTTCTTAACAGTGACTTGAGAAATAATAATAATCATTATCATTGTCATCTATTTTGAGCTCTAAAAGTGTTATTCTGCCAAAAAATGAACTACAACTTCCCCACAAATCATGAAAAGTGAGCTATATACCTGTCTTTTCGCTTTTCTTTCTTTCTGACTGCCATAATAAGTGAGAATCTTGAAGCCAGGAAGCCATTTCTTGAACTCCATCTCCCAATTCAGCATCACACTTGTAGGAACTACCACTAGATGTGGACCCCACAAACCTTTTTCACAGGCTAGGTGAGCTAATAGTGCTATTGTCTGGATAGTTTTGCCAAGCCCCATTTCATCAGCTAGGATACCATTCAAACATTTACCATGCATGGTGACCAGCCAGTCCAAACCAATGACTTGGTATTCTCTCAGTGTTCCTCTTAGCAGCATTGGAACTTTTGTTTGCACCTTTCAAAACAAAAGAACAGTATAATCAATTTAAAGGAGTTTTCGAGGACCTAAGGAGATGCACGAACCACAGATAAAAATTATAACTATTTCACAACATAACCTAGATTATCAGTTTCAAGATACTAACATGTGCAGTTTCCAGGGTAAATCCTGTGGGCTGCAGACTTTCAGCAGTAGCTGCAGCACTGGTTAGCTCTTGGTCAGGATCAGACTCGGCACCATCAGAACTACCATCTTTCTTTACCAGATACTCCATACCACTCTCTTCTTCAGCTTCTTCTGAAAGAAAACCCTTAAATTTATTCTCACAATCATATGGATCAAATCCACTTGGATTCCCATGTTTTTCTATTTCAGACTCAGATGTTGTGAGTAGTGGGCCCAGAGGATTTTTTAGGGTATTGATAAAAATTTGAAGGTTTTGTAGCCATGAATAGCGTCTATTGACTTGATTCAAAACTTAGAAAAACCAAGGTCATCATGAAAGCATACCTTCTGAAGACTCTTCTGAACTCTCTTCATCAGAGGGAAAATCTGTTGTGTCTTCTCCAGTTGCATATTGCTTCAAGAGTTCCTCTATGGGCATGTCTCCTATTACAATAAGAAATAAGATATTAGTACATTGTGAATATTAAATCCAACATAAATAGACCTTTTAAAACCTTTCCTTGATGTCCTATAAGAACTGAGATCTTACAACAAAGGACACAAGCCAGGGATTTCAATGTTGATACATTTTAGAGCATTTGCTCTATAGTAGGCATATACCTTCTTTGGCAAGCTCTTCAATTTCTTTTTTGTGGTCAAAATCTTCTTCAGTATTTTCTTGCTCATCTAAAGTTTGCTCATCATCCTCTTCCATCTCTTCAGTTACGACAAAGTCACCATCTTTCTTATTTTTTTCCTCAGGCATTTTGGAGCTAAAAAAGCAAATTTAATACTGCTTAGTAACAATTCATAATTTTATTCGCACATTTTGCTAGTTTGGAGAACTTTAATCAAGATTTACAATCACATTGGGAAGTGGCTGAGTAGGCTGCTGAATTAGCAAGAGTAGACGGCGGAATCTGCCGGTTGCCGATTTCTATTGAAAACCCTGTAAGATTACTCTAAAATACAAGATATACAAAATGCTGGATTTACCAATCTTTTCAATGTGCTATGCCCTGTACCATGAACCTTCCACAAGTTATTGTTTTCTTTTTTACATGTTTTTGACAACTTTTATATTAACTCTGCTCTTTACCACTAACCAATTAGATATCAGGTATATATAGGTTCATCAATGTAGCGTTATGGTAACATTGAAGTGAAGACCTGATTCCTATTGGTAACTAATAATAACTTACCTTGTCGGTATTTGGCTCTCTGGGATTTTACTCTCCTCTTTGTCTTTACTTTCCACATCAACTTCAATATCACTTTCATTGCTCTCATTACTAAAACAACATGACGTATAAGTCTAAAGTTCAGAAGGCCATACTATGAAATACCCAATTGTTATAGTTTTCCTCCAACAATAGTTATAGTTAATACAACGACTGACTCTAGAAATGATGGAGCTACATCTAAAGAAATTCCTTGATTTACCAGCTCTTATCACTGTTTCCCCATTTCAGACCAAATTTCATACCCTTGTTTTATATCCTCTTATTTTCTTTATTATGTTACCTTCCTTCGCCAGAAGAATCACTTTCATCTTCAGCACCACTGCCTTCAGAATGATTTCTTTCTTTGCCTCTGTCTTCTAGCATTTCTGGTGGCAGCTGTCCAAGAAGTTCCTCAAGTGTCAATTCACTGTCCTGCTTCAACATATCCAGCTCTTTTTGTCTATCTACATCTGTTTGCTCCTGGAAAATTAATGTTTAGTCACAAGTTAAATTATAATGATGATAAGGATGGAAGAACCTAATTAATGTTTATGTAAATTTGATTCCTATGACAACCAAACATTTTCATTTAAAATCATATCCAGGAATAACACTAAAGGCTTGAAAAGTTTAAATGGTGTGGGTTTGATGGTAAGTTTTTGATTCCCCTAATTGGGAATTAACTTGAGTAAGTAAGCAAAACAAGGAATAAAGAAAGGATAAGTAGTTACCTTAAGTTCCAATTCTTCCTCTTCCATTATTGTTTCTTCAACATCACTTTCACTGCTTCCATCATATTCCTCAGGATCACCTTTGGATGAAGATGCTGGTGATGTTACTGCTGTTGAAGCTCGTGACTGTTCTGCACTCTGTGGTTGATTTTTTAAACTSTCTGCAAGCCATGAGGAGTATTTTTCTGTTTGGTCGACAATAAAGTTAAGTTGTACATCCAAAGCTTTTTTCCGCCTCTCTTCAAGTCTACTTTGCACTTTGTATTGAACCACCTATTAGGGTTTACGAAAGAGCATTAAAGTAAGTCTAGCATGATTCTTCCGGGACTGCTGAAATAACTACATTACTCTTTTTAGGATACACCTAATTGAAAAAACGCTGTCGGGTTCAAAAAAAGATTATATCGTCAAAGCTAAGACCGAAGGGGAGCATGGGAAGACAAACAATTATGCTAATTTCATGTGTATTGCAGTTTTCCCTTGTGTACATTTTCCGCATCGACCGACTTTGCTCTACTGTGCATTTTTACATGTCTATATGCAAATATAATACACATTTCACAGTACCCAAAATCTTTTTTGGTCTTAGCTTCCATGATACGACCTTCTYGAACCCGACTACATTTTTTCAATTAGGTGTATATTGTATTTGGAGAGATTGTATTTAGTTTTGACTCATGTTGATCAATCATAATAGAATGAAATCAAAATTTACCTTTTCAACGCTGGCCCAAAACTGTTTCACTTCCCGTGCAATACTGCTGGCAATTCTTCTTAGTCTCACAGTTTCCTCCTTTTCAGCCTTGACTTCTTTGCTTTTCAGCTCTTGATGGTGCTTTAGAACAGCTCTAGACAATTTTTTAGCCACTCCTCTTTTCCATCTTCTTTCCTGAGCAAAATCTGTAGCTAACCATTGCATTTCTTCAAGCAGGTAGTCCCAATGTGCTTTTTTACGTGACATTTCCTGTACTTTTGGCAATCTTTTAGCAGTCCAAAGTCCTTCCTTTCTTAGTTCACCTATCCTTTTATATACCTCTGCCTCTCGCTTAGCTTCTACTGCTATTTCTTCTTGACTTCCGAAAGAATTTTCTAAGACCGACATGACTGAAGGATTTCTGACAGAAGATACCCTTCCCGAAGAGTCTGAAGCAATGGAAGGTCCATTTGACAACTGATGTCCAGCAACTGAGACACTACGACTGAAAGTGGCACTTGATTTTGATATAGAATTCAGAGTATTTTTTCTTTGCCCACTATCAGTGTTTGAATGACCACCGCCTAAAGTATTCGTATTTAAAGAGGCATTAGGTAATGATAAAGATCGTGATAATGCCTGCATAGATTGATTACCTTTCATTCCTAAAAGAGTTCCAGTAAATGGTGACACATTGGGAGTAAAKCCTTCAGAAAATTGTTGATATGCAGAATTAGTATTCAGTAAATTACTCCTAGGATCAACACCCGATTGCTCATTTGATGTTCTTTGGTGATCTACATTTTCCTGTGATTGCAATACATTAACAGGTCCTTGAGCTCCTAACACAGGAATACTACCAGGAGAGGACAGTCCAATAAGGCCTTCTTCCAATTTATTTGAATTCAGGAAACTTGTCAGCTGAGGGTTTGGTTTTCTTTTCCAAATGAGAATATCCACAATGTTGCCTCCACTTTGGAGAAAGAAGAGTTCTTGTAGTTTCTCATAATAGTTCAAGTTCACAGATTCAATCTCACCATTGTAATATTCTATGACTAACTGCCTTAGCCTTGCCGTCTCTGGAGAATCAGTTGGTTTCCCAACTGGAACTGGATTGTGTTTCCTTCCACTGGGATTACCAGGTAAATGCTCTGGATTCATCATTGGTCTATATACTGGAGACTGAGTTGGATGGAGGCCACTTGAAGGGCTTGGAGCACCTATACTACGAGAAGGTAAACTGTTAGGCGAGGGTTGATTTGGATACCCAGTAGGACTGGGTACTGGTCGATTAAAACCATGGTGGTGAATTGTGCCACCAGGGGATGGACCCTGGGGGTAATTGTACTGTTCTCTTTGATAATCAGAGAAAACAGGCTTGTGATCTGGTGTAAAGTATGATGGAGATCTTATAGGATAACCTGGATCTGACTTTGAAGGACTCATTGCTGGGGATTCACCCATCACATGGCCAAAGAAGTCCGGGCTTCCAGGGATCGAGCTTGCACTTGTAGGTGTTGCACAGGAAGGCGTTGAAATCCCAGAACTTGGGGAATGTACAGATGTCATATATACTGGTGGTCCTGGTGGATAACGAGATGGTGAGATAGCAGAATGTGGATATACACCATGAGGTGAAGGAGGGACGCCTGATTGACTTCTTGGATTGTGTTGGTACAGTCTATGTGGACTGACTGGATTTTGAACTGAGCTTGGACTTTGGGGTAAGACAAACGGTCCAGCCTTGAATGGGGATGTTGGGGAATTTTCTGCCATCTCCTGAGTTCTTATGTCACTGATGTGAAGTCCTTCCAAGTCTTGTGAATGAGGACGACGAACTCTTCTTCGAGGAGTTTCATCATGATACTGCGACGGTTCCCCGCTTCGTCGCATTACAAACAGAACAAACCGACCACCAAGGGCATTTTAATTACTATTAAAATCAAATCAGTTCCTGTGAAAAAAATTAAATAAAAATATATTACTTTTTCCTGTAAGTTAAGAGCATGCGCGTTTTTGCCGCCATTTTGAATGCTTTCAAGTATGTCAAGTTCAATCCATAAAATTCACGCCCCAAACTCATCCATCCAAACAAATATTTTCCTCTTTTACCTTCATCCTAAACCAAATAGCTCGCCTAGCTGCTTCTTTTCCCATCTAAAGCAGTAACGCAGACATTTCACGACCAATTCTTACATCCMTCACATAACCATCCACGTCTCTACCTTCCTTGAATAGTCGGTCCCAAGGCTCGCGCTGCTTTATGGGAAATTTTAGAAGCGTCGTTCAATGACAAAAAGAAAGTAACGAACGGAAAGGAATAAAACGCTGATAAAATTTCAAAAAATCCTCTACAATTGACAAAAAACATCAAAAGTCACTAGATGCATACCTGGGCCTGCCTTGTGGGATATTTTTTGATCTCCAAAGTGTGTTTTGGAAACAAAATTTGTGATTAAAGTTGCTCTTTGGGAGCTCCAAAGCTCACTTCTTATTTTAGCTTCGTCATGTGAAAGTCCCGGATGTCGAACCCAACATCTAAACGAGGCTGGCATTCGCGAGTATGCGCGGGAAATTTTGAATAAATTTTATTTCGCGAAGACCCAGGGCTTCTTCAAAGTTTTTTCATTCTTCCTTCTAAGAAAACATCAACTTAAAATGCTTTTTTATTCTCCAAGTCTATAAATATTTCAACTGCGAGGATTCTTTTATCTTATTTGTTGAAATTTATTTCGATAATTTTCATATTAGGCAGAGAATATTTCACAAAGATCAGACGCGAGTTGTCAGACACTGCTGAAGCATATCTATGGCTAGCCTTTAGTGAGCAGAGGGCGATGACTCTAGATGAACATTCTTTGAAAGGACAATATCTGTTTGTGAGGTCTGGGTTTGGAGATGAGGAGATCTGCAGCGCCGTCAGTTCGTGCGGCAAAGAGAGGCAGGTTTATTCCTCCGATATTAGGATCGCGACTACAAGAAAACGGCATAAGTTTAAATCGAAACAACACATCTGCAGAAGAATTTGAGGTATGTCATATCATGATCAGCTGTCTAATTTTCCAGAATTCTTTAGAACGATATTTTTTAGCTGTTTTTGAGTTGTCAGTGCCCAATCCTGTCCATTCACAATATTATTGTACACAAATGTAGGCAAAGTTGTGTTTACATATTTTCCTTATTAGCATAAGCTTACATTATTATGACCAACCGAAGAAAATCTAATATTTTGGGACTTTCCACTCAGACATCCATAGTTCTGTTGTAAAACTTTATACACTGAAGCTACAAATATTTCTTCAAAATATATTAATACTGAAATCTACATGTTGCATAATCCAAGTAGTCCCTCAATCCCCTCCCACCAATCATAACAAGGGCAGATCCAGGGGGGCAAAGGGGGGCTGAAGCCCCCTTTCAGCAGAAAAAAAAACTGAAGAATTAGATGCTTTTTTTTATTGTTTTCTGTTGTGTTGGCAGAAGAAACTCAATTAGCCCCCCCTAAACTCCATTAGCCCTCCCCCCTAAAATTTTGGCTGGATCTGCCCTTGAATAACACTCTGATCCAGATAATATTTTTTATTCCAGTCTGCTCATAACAAGTGAAATAGGCACTTTTTAATTACTATTTTCTGGTTYATTTTAGAATGGCAGTTCTAATTCTATAAAGGATAAGGAAGAAATCTCTGTCAAGCCTATAATTAAATCTTCAGACTCAACTTCAACTAATGGAAAAAGTTTATTGCTTTCAAAATTCCAAACAAAATCAACACAACAGCAATCGTTTCGATCTCCATTCCTTAACAAGCAATCACCAGGGCTTTCCTCAGGTAAAGTAGGTGTAATAAAATTCTCACCCATGTAGACTAGATAATATTTCTTAGCTAGTATCTAGTGATACCCCTACTCATTGATTTTTAGAGTGAAATCTAGGAAATCAAAGTTATGCATTTGCAACAATGGGCCTTACCTCTGCAATTACTGGACTTCCCAATTTTGATATGCACAGAACTATTGGGCCAGGAATCAAAAGTTCTATAGTGGTAGTGAAATTGCATCTCACCTCTTGAGTCCTCTCTGAGTAGACTTTGAAAGTTCTCTCCCTTGATTTGAGGGTTTCATCCAGGGTTCTCCAGTTTTCCTGCCTCAGTAGAAACCTACCAAGCTAAATTACACTAAGACCTCTGAGTTAGCCATGCCCTGATCAAATTAGATCTGCCCAGAGGTTGTTTCAGGGTATTGATAACATTTGAAGATAATAGTATAGTAGTGATAAATTATGTGTTCGGTGCATGTAGTGAAATAGAGAGAATAAGAGATATGTTTCTCTTATTCTCTCTATTTGAAGATAATACTTAAATTCTTTTTCTTTAGTGAACACAAGTGACAAGCCAAAGGATGAAGAAGATGCTTGTCACTACTTTTCAGTTGTTTGGTAAGTCAGGGTTATTCATTCAATTTGCAGGTATATATACCAATGAAGCTTAAAATTATTTAGACTATTTTTGTCTTTACAACTTTTTTTTGTATTGATAACAGGTGTAAAATGTCCAAGAAAAAGGTGGGTGTGGCACCATACATGTCAAGCTTTAGATTATGTTTTCCCTTTCAAGAGCATGTTTTCTAGTCTTGTCCCCAGACTACTCAGTTATCTCTCCCAAGTTGAGACAAGCATGAAGTTATGCTGAAAGGCAAAGAGAGTAGCCAACGGCTGAGGCTACATGTTTCCCTTGTTTTCTCATAGAAATTAAGATATGAAAATAACATATCAGCAACAGTGTAGGTTAAAAAAAGGTAATCTTATTCCCAAGGAAATAGTATATGGTCTGAATGAGAATTAAAAAGTCAAAATTGTACCATTACACTGTATTATTGGTTGTCTGTGGTATTGGGATGGAATGGAGAGAAAAGGCAGAAAAAAACAACACCGCAGTTTGGCGAGTAATGCAGACTAATATTGACATAATATTAATCTGAATCTTTCATTTTCTAGCACAAAAAATGGGATGGAGATGGTAAGTGTCCATTTTTACCTCTACATTAAAATCCCAATGCCATCCTATATACAATTTCCAGTATCTTTAACTTTTTTTCCCCCAGGCATATTAATAACAAGGGGAAGAACAGCCATATTGAAGGACCTAGAAGGAAAAGAGTTAGTATTTGATGATAAATGCAGATCTAGGGGGAGGTTCTGCAGCAGGGAATCAAGATCCCCATGTCATATTTGAGATTCAATTGATTGTTTTATCCTGGAATTAAGTTTAACCACAGGTTTCAAGTAATTTTTTTCTTTTTGTAAAAAAAGTTGATATTATGTAACCAGAGAGGAGGATAGAAGTTAGTGGTTGTGAAAGGGTCCAACAGGTTTTGTTTAGTATACATTTGAGCCCCCCCCCCCCCCTCAAACATTCTTAGATCTCACCATAAAATGTTTGAAATATTACTGAAATATTTACTGAAAAAGCATGGTTACCAGTATGTTTAAAAAATGTAACCAGGAGCTCACTGATCCAGTGACCTATCTTCTTACGCTGTAAATTGCTGGCTTGAAATTCATTTGCCTAGGTTGTTGGCCTTCAACTATGATTTGTATATCTATTTTTTTAAATATATTATCACCACAGTATTATACTATCATTTAATAGGATTGCAAAGGGTTCTGGTTATAAGTCTTCTGAACTTGCAACACTTCAGGAAGGCCACACTCTGTTTGTTGGTGGTAAAGAAATTGAGGTATAAAACAACCCTACATATATTAGGATAAGATCCTACTGTGCATTATACGTATTTCAATATTCGCCATCTGCAAAACTAAAAATGTGTGACTGGTCATAATCAGGATTATAGGAAACATTTTGTATACAAAAAAATTAAGTTTTTTAAGTAATTTGCAGCTTGAGCTAGGGTTCTTACAGAAGGTGAATTGGTAACTGGTGAAATATTTCCCACCCTATCTACCTAAACACCCAAACTGCCTGCAATCACTTTGAAACACTGTGTATAAATTTTAAATAGTTTCACTCATTTATTAATTATATTACTGCCATTTGTGCCCTTCAACAACCCTGGAAAGACTGCCAGTCCCTCTGCAGTAACCAAACAAAATATCAAGGCTAAAAATGTTGTAGCTTTGACTCCAAGGCGTAGCATAAAATGTTTTTTCACTCATTTAATTCTCCTGTATATTTTGTAGATGATGGGGACTATATCAGCTGCTGATTATATGAGTGGCAAGTGCTTTCATGCTGTTTCCAGTCCTTCTATAATAAGTCAGGAAAATAATAGAAGAAATTCTCAAAACACAGGTTAGCATTTTTAATAATAATAATTTTTGTTATTATCAATTCCACTCAGATGTTTTAAGACTCTGAATGTTCGTTTGGCAACAGCAGGCCAACCATTGACAGCAATAGGCCCTTTGCAGCTAAGCAATCACGTGCTGATTAATTCACTGAGAGCAAATGAATGAACAT